AAAAAAAAAAAAAAAATAGGGGTGCCTGAGTGGCTCAGTGGGTTGAGTGTCCCAACTCTTGGTTTCAGCTCAGGTCGTGATCTTAGGGTTTTGGGATCACCCCCGAGTCAGGCTCCATGTTCAGCAGAAAGTCTGCTTGAGATTCTTTCCCTCACCCTCTCCCTCGGCCCTTCCCCTGCTCACGCTCACTCTCTCAAATAAATAAATAAATCTTAAAAAATAAAACATTATATTAAATAAAAAAATAAAAATCTTGTAATTCAGTTTGTCCAGCTTTCCCTTGGTGACCTCCTCATTACCTTTATTTATTTAAAGATTTTATTTATTTATTTGACAGAGAGATAGAGAGAGAGCACAAGTAGGCAGAGCGGCAGGCGGAAGGAGAGGGAGAAGCAGGCTCCCCGCCGAGCAGGGAGCCTGATGCGGGCTCGATCCCAGGACCCTGCGATCACGACCTGAGCCGAAGGCAGACGCTTAACCCATGGAGCCACCCAGGCGCCCCTTCCTCATTACCTTTAAATTTAAAACATTTATCAAAGTAGTACGAATAGTAAAGAAAAAAAAAAAGCCAAGTAATTCTAAATAGCTTATGATGAAAAACAGTGGTTCCTGGCTTTATCCTTCAGAGTCTCAGTAACTGTGTCAGGATTTGATCAGAAAAGCAGAACCACTAAGGATAAGCTAGAGTAAAGGATCCATGTTAGAGATTTTACCTTACACAGCTGTGGGAGCTTGTCGAACAGTCTGTGCAAGGCTCTTGCTTCTGTGTCTGGCACTGGGGCCAGCAGGGCAGGTGGACTGGAACGGAAGATGGGCTTGAGGTGAAGCAGAGGAAGGACAAACTCAAACCTGCATCGGCCAAGAACCTGAATGGTTAGGAATAAATTTTCCAGATACTCATGTCAAGATTTGTGTACAGGAACTACTTAAAGCTCATCCTGGGGCGCCTGGGTGGCTCAGTCATTAAGCGTCTGCCTTCAGCTCAGGTCATGATCCCAGAGTCCTGGGATCAAATCCCACATCGGGCTCCCTGCTCGGCAGGAAGCCTGCTTCTCACTCTCCCACTCCCCCTGCTTGTGTTCCTGCTCTCACTATCTCTCTCTCTGTCAAATAAATAAATAAAATCTTTAAAAAAAAAAAAAGCTCATCCTAAAAACTTCCTGTCAAAATAATCTTAAAAATATTAATCTAATAACAATCTAAAATTCTACTTGACTGCAAGAGAATTTGAAATTTAAGCCAAAGTTAGTATGAACTAGTATTAACTACTAGTTAACTAAATAGTAACTAAAATATCAACAGGCATTTATTTTAGTGAACAGCATCTAACTTGGACTCTGCACTAAGCACCTCCCATAAGTGAGGACCCAAGTTAGGTGCTGTGGGAATTATAAAAATGAGTAAATAAAACACACAATCTCTGGGATGCCAGGGTTAAACATCTGCTTTCGGCTCAGGTCATGATCCTAGAGTCCTGGGATCGAGTCCTGCACTGGGCTCCTTGCTCAACGGGGAGCTTGCTTCTCCCCCTGCTTATGGTGACGAATAAATAAAATCTTAAAAACAAAACCAAACAATGTCTGTCCTCCTGGAAGCACAGGGGTGGGGTAGGGGTGATAGAAGCAGCAACTTAAATGCAACAATAGAAGAGGCTATTGATTGATTTCAAGGATCCATGGACATCTGGAAGGGTCTCATGGAGAAAGAGAATTCAAGGGCCTTAAGAAAGGCCTTTGGGGTGGAGTTCAAGGGAACAATATGAACAAGGATTTGGCCAGGAAAATGAGGAGGGTGTCGTGGGGAAACATTTCAGTGGTGGGTAGAAGGAAGAGACAAGGCTGGGAATATAGACTGGGGCCATATCAGGGTAGGCCCTCAATAACAGGAGAAAAGGAATGAATTTACCCAGTAGGCGGTGGGAGCCATTGGTATTTGTTGAGGAAGAAAGTGAAAATTTAATCTTTATTTAAAAAAATATTATACATGTACCAATGTATAAACACATGGTAAGTATATAATTTTCTCTTTCTTTTTTTTTTTTAAGATTTTATTTATTTGACAGAGAGAGA